AAAAAAAAAAAAAAAAAGAATGCTTCATTCGTGGTATTTATAAATTTTGATTTATCTCCAAATTGTTCTCCCAAGAGTTTCAGTTTATGTAGTCATTTTACAGGACAGCTTTTATCAGTTCTTGGTATAAGATCCTTTAACCTCAGACTTAGTATATGAATATCTATACATGCATAATATTTCATACACATGATATATACATATTTCCATATATATATGTGTGTGTGTTAGCCACTTAAACATGTCCTGTTACTCTTATATGAATCTTAAATTTGATAATGCTCTTTTGAATCTATTTCATCCCCTATGTCTTCTGTATTCTCCCTGCTTATAATCTACCCTCACTATCGTGAACTATGAAGCCTGGTGACAACTTTTTAGACAATTTTATGTAAGATAATTATTTGCTAAGTCACCCAGTGACAACACTCAGGTATTGTTTGTCTCCCTGCCATTAGTGTATAGTAGGTACTTCAAAATCAGAACACTTTATTCTGTATTTTTAATGTATTTGTCTTTGCTTCCTACCCAGGAATGCAAACTCAGATGTCTGTCCACAGAGTCCTAAAGTGGGCTGTAACATGGTTTGGCAGACTTTTTCTGTAAATAGCCAGATAGTAAATATTTTAAGCTTTTGAGTAGGTTTTTTGTTGTTGTTTGTTTTTTTGAGACTGAGTCTCAGTCTGTTGCCCAGGCTGGAGTGGAATGGCGGGATCTCGTCTCATTGCAACCTCCGCCTCCTGGGTTCAAGCTATTCTTCTGCCTCAGCGTCCCAAGTAACTGGGACTACAGGGACGTGCCACCACCCCCAGCTAATTTTTGTATTTTTATTAGAGATGGGTTTTACCATATTGGCCAGGTTGGTCTCAAACTCCTGACCTTGTGATCTGCCAGCCTCAGCATCCCAAAGTGCTGGGATTACAGGTGTAAGCCACTGTGCCCGACCTCTTTTGAGTAGTAGTTTTTTTTTTTGTTTTTTTTTTCTTGAGACAGAGTCTCACTCTGTTACCCAGGCTGGAGTGCAGTGGCGCAATCTTGACTCACTGCAACCTCCACCTCCTGGGTTCAAGCAATTCTTCTGCCTCAGCTTCCTGAGTAGCTGGGATTACAGGTGTGCGACACCACGCCTGGCTAATTTTTGTATTTTTAGTAGAGATGGGGTTTCACCATGTTGTTCAGGCTGGGTTCGAACTGCTGACCTTATGATCCACCTGCCTTGGCCTCCCAAAGTGCTGGGATTACAGGTGTGAGCCACCACACCCGGTCTTCTTTTGAGTAGTTTTGTGGGCAACTACTCAACCCTATATATACTCTGCTATTGTTGCTTGAAAGCAGACACAGACAAACTGTAAACAAGTGAGGCTTTTTCTAGTTTATCCCCTTTCTTTGCTTTGAAAAAAAAAAAAAACTAAGTATTTGCTTAGCTGGAGTTGGTCTACAGGCTATAGACCCCAGGACTGGAGGTTTGTTGCCAAGTGTGAATTTGTACTCAATCTACTCAGATTAAAAGAAAAAAAAAAGCTGGAAAATTACGGTATTTGATGAAATATCCCATTGTATAAATGTTGCCAAATTAGCTTAGAATGTTATAAAATATTATGAGCCAGTTATGTCTATAGGCTTATTTCTGCGTGAAAGCCCGTAGTTTTTGATCTCTGTATTTTAATTATATTGAGAATCTCATCCTTATTTCCTATTTCCTGGCAAAATGAGCACAGAATAAATGCTTGTTGAATAAATAAATAAATGAACTGCTTACATTATTAATTTGTTTTTGTTTTCTCAATCTACTAGGAAATTTTGTCTGTGGTTAAAAAAAATAAAAAGAATGAGGTAAGATTTTTAATATAAAATTAAATTTAGGAGTCATTTACTCCCCAGTCACTAGTCCTTTTTCTTTAATCACCAGTGTCCATTTTTCTCACTATCCCATTTCTTTGCTTTAAAAAAAAAAAAAACCTATGTATTCACCTCTTCCATATCCTAACATTCTTCTTTCTTATTTATCAACTTTAGTTATGTGTTTTATTGCTGATTCTTGATGTGTAAATGTTAATTTATGGGTCTAGCAATGTGCTTTTATCTTCTGAGTCTGGCAGTGATGCAAGTGCTTGTAACACCATGTGGGTATAAACGGTGAGCCATCTTATGGAACCTGTGGGGAATGCCTTAATCTTGCTTCTGACCTTAAAGAGTTTTTTAAGTTTCTTAAAAGTTCTGTTTGAGGTCTTGATTTTCGAGCCAACTCTTCGCTTACCCTCATTTTATTTAGAGAGGTTCTTTGTTATCTGATTTTTTTTTTATGGCTCAAGTCCTTAAAATTACAAGGTTGCATAGGGAAGCAAAATAATCATGACATGAAAATATTCATGAATGGATACGAACTTCAAGTAGTTAATTTACATATCAAAGTTTTTTAGGGCTTTGGGAAGTTAATGTTATGTTTATAAAATGAGGGATACTCTGTTTGGTCATCATATAATTTTGTCCAAAATTTATCCTGTAAGCGTCTTGATTTTTATTCTTTTTTAAGTGTAAGAACTGGTTTATGATTGCAGTTATAACCTGCTAGTATAAATATAAGATCAAGGTCATTTTTATAACATTGAGTTAGATTTTTATAGAAAAAGTCTCAATGTAATGTACTGTAATTTACTATGGAATTTTGGCCTCATTTTATAACTTAGAGTCAGTAAGTAAGAAAAAGAAACAGTTCTTTTTTTTTTTTTTTTTTTTTTTTTTTTTTTTTAGATGGAGTCTCTGTCACCCAGGCTAGAATGCAATGGTGTGATCTTGGCTCACTGCAACCTCCACCTTGCAGGTTCAAGCGATTCTCCTGTTTCAGCCTGCCGGGTACCTGTGACCACAGGTGGGCGTGGAGATGGGGGTTTCATCATATTGGCCAGGCTAGTCTTGAACTCCTGACCTCAGGTGATCTGCCCACCTTGGCCTCCCAAAGTGCTGGGATTACAGGTATAAGCCAGTGCGCCTGGCCAGAAAGAGTTCTTAAATATGTATTTTAATGAGTTTTGACACATGCATACGCTTGTGTAACCACCATCCAAATCAAGGTATAGAACATTTCCATTGTAGAGGGATCTCTTCTGTCTTTCTAATTATTTTTCTACCTCTAAACCCAGAGGAGGCCACTTTGTACATCTTTTATAGGCTGGCTTATTATTTCCTTTCTACTCAACATGTCTATGATACTCATTTATGTTGTTGAGCATATTAGTAACTGGTTTCTTTATATTATTGACTAGTATTCCATTGAATGAATATTAAAATTCTAATCCATCTCCTTATTGATAGACATTTGGGTTGTTTGGAATTTGTGACTTTTATGAGTAAGGCTGCTGTGATCGTTTGTATGCAAGTCCATGTGTAGACATGTTTTCATACTTTTTGCCTGCTTGCCTGGGAATGGAATTGTTGTGTTATAAGGCAAATGTATGTTCATAAGAAAGTACAGATTTTTTTTTCCTAAACGTGTCATTTTATTCTCTCACTAGCAATGTATGAAAATTTCAGCTTACATTGTCAGCATTTGATATTGTTAGTCTTTAATTTCAGTCATTTTATTAGATGAGAAATGATATCTTGTGTGGTTTTTAACTTGCATTTTCCTAATTACTACTGAAGTAGAGTGTATTTTTATATTCTTGATGGTTGTATGTTTTCTTTTGTAAAGTGTCTGTTAATATCTTTCATCAGTCTTATGTGTATTGTATTTTCTCTGTAATAGTTTAGTTATTGAGTAGCGTAATATTAGAAGTTTAGAAGAGAAGTACAGTTCTAATGGTCTTTTCAAAAGTATATGCCTGTTAATCATTTTAATTTGTAAAGGTTATTCTCAGATTTTTATATTTTATTTTTGAGGCAGAGTCTCCTGTCACCTAGGCTGGATTGTAGTGGTTGTGTTCGTGGCTCACTGCAGTCTTGACTTCCTGGACTCAAGTGATCCTCAGCCTCCCGAGTAACTGGGATACAGGCAGCTGCATGCAACCATGCCCAGCTAATTTTTTGTATCTTTTGTAGAGACAGGGTTTCACCATGTTGCCCAGGCTGCTCTTGAACACTTGGACTCAGGTTATCTTCCTGCCTCAGCTTCCCAAAGTGCTGTGATTATAGGATTAGCCACTGTGTCTGGCCTGTTATTATTTTTTTTTAGTGGTTTTTCATTTGTAGAGGGATGAATATATCTCCAGTTTTTAATCCAGATGGAGTCTTATTTTTCTTTACTTAATGACTTGGTAGGTTTTGTTAGTCACATTTTCTGATAAATGGTGGCATAAGGCAGCATTTTGTATCAAACTTCTAATTAAACTTTTTTCTTTACAGGATGAAAACTCCTCTTCTACTAATCTCTGTGTAGAAGATCTTCAGAAAAATAAAGAGTCGAATAGTATAATTAAAGATAGATTGTCTCAAACGGTTAGGCAGAATGCGAAATTCTTTTTTGACCCAGTCCGGAAATGTAATGGTCAGCCAGTGCCTTTTCAACAACCAAAGCACTTCACAGGAGGAGTTATGCGATGGTACCAAGTAGAAGGCATGGAATGGCTTAGGGTAATGAATTGTCATAATAAAAGATACTGGTTTATTTCTATAGTAGCGTAGTAATGTGATGTACCACAACTTGAGTCATTTCTATCATGTTTCACTATTATATATTTGTGTGTGCATACTTACTTTCTAATTTCTTTACCCTGAATTTTTAGAAATGGAAATTACCTTGTTAAAGCTTCCAGCACTTTTATGGCTTTGATAAAGGAGTTTTCACAGTGTTGTTATAATTTATGGTGTTTTTAACGTAATTCTCATCTTTGGGTATGTTTTTTTTAAAAAAGAAATAAACTGTCATAACCCTGTAGGTGTTTATATCCGAGTTTAAATGCAGTATCTATTATTTTGTCTAGATGCTTTGGGAAAATGGAATTAATGGCATTTTAGCAGATGAAATGGGATTGGGAAAGACAGTTCAGTGCATTGCTACAATTGCATTGATGATTCAGAGAGGAGTACCAGGACCTTTTCTTGTCTGTGGCCCATTATCTACACTTCCTAACTGGATGGCTGAGTTCAAAAGATTTACACCAGATGTAAGACATGCTTCCTTATGTTAAAATTATAATTTTACATGTTTTCTTCTGCTTTGTTGTTGTAGGAATTAAATTGTAGAACTCCTATAATTATATTGGTTCCTGTGTAATTATTGCATCTGATTTGACTTAATATGCTGAATACTCTAATTTAAATTTATATAGAATAGGTTTTGGAAATCTCTGACATCTTTCTTGAAATATTCCCAAATGATTTTCAAAGCATTGGTTAATTTGATTTAACTGAGACAGACTTAGGTAGAAATTTTATTTAAAATTATTCTTCTTCTTCACTTGATCTTAGCCTAAAGGCTGAGAAGTGAGTTTTCTGTTTTTTTTTTTTGTTTGTTTGTTTTTTTTAACTTTTTTTCTATACATGTTGTCGTCTGCAATTTTTTTCTTTTTTTTTTTTGAGATGGAGTCTCTGTTGCCCAGGCTGGAGGGCAGTGGTGTAATCTTGGTTCACTGAAACCTCTGCCTCCCATGTTGAAGCAATTCTTGTGTCCCAGCCACCTGAGTAGCTGGGACTACAAGCATGTGCCACTGTGCCGAGCTAATTTTGTATTTTTAGTAGAGACGGGGCCTTGTCATGTTGGCCAGCTGGTCTTGAACTGCTGGCCTGAAGATATTCGCCCACCTTGGCCTCCCAAAATGCTGGGATTATAGATGTGAGCCACTGTGCCCCTAGTGCCCAGCCCTTCTGCGCATTTTTGCCTCATGAGAAATATATATATTCTAGAAGTAGCGTCACTGTCTGTCTCATTTTATATATCATTATTATTTTTTGAGATGGTTTCTTGCTCTCTCACCAGGATGGAGTGCAGTGGCATGGTCTCAGCTCATTGCAGCCTCTGCTTCCCAAGTTCAAGCAATTCTTCTGCCTCAGCCTCCCAAGTAGCTGGGGTTACAGGTGTGCACCACCACACCCGACTAATTTTGTAGTTTTTAATAGAGATGGGATTTCTTCATGTTGGTCAGGCTGGCCTCGAACTCGTCACCTCAACTGATTCGCCCCCCCACCTTGGTTTCCCAAAGTGCTAGGATTACAGGCATGAGCCATCCTGCCCAGCCCGTATATTTGTTTTTCTGGCTATATATTTTTTAAAGACAGGATGTTTCTCTGTCACCCAGAGTGGAGGGCAGTGGTGCCATTCTGGCTTATTGTGGCCTTTACCTCCCAGGTTCATACGAGCCTGCCTTCTCACACCCCTGAGTAGCTCATGTGAACTCTCACCTCACCCCACTGGGTGAGTAGCTGGCACTACAGTTGCGTATCATCACACCCAGCTAGTTGTTGTATTTTTTATAGAAATGAGATTTCTCCATGTTGCCCAGGTTGATCTTGAACTACTCCTGGACTTTATAGATTTGCCTGCCTTGGCTTTCCAAAGTGCTGGGATGACAGGTGTGAGCCATTGTGATAGGCCTGACTTTTTTTTTTTTTTTTTTTTTTTTAGTTTCTTCTGTAGTAATTCAATGATTTGTTAGAATTACTTGGCTTATTTTGTTATAGAAAAATAGAACTAAAATTTTAAAAAATTATATTTTTTCTCAGAATGATTCCTATGTTCCAAATAATCGATATTTATGTTTCCTTCTTAAGTTTGTTATAAATCCATATACAATTTTCCAGATCCCTACTATGTTATATCATGGAACCCAGGAGGAACGTCAAAAATTGGTAAGGAATATTCACAAACGGCAAGGGACTCTGCAGATTCATCCTGTGGTGGTTACATCATTTGAAATAGCCATGAGAGACAGAAATGCATTACAG